ATTGAATCAACTTTGTTTTCTCAGTTTTTGCTGTTGCTACTCAAGTCGACTAAACTAAGTTATACGATAACCGAGAATGCTAAATTAAGCTGGTATCATAATTATTGTTTCATTTCCACAGAAATGTTACCTAAAGTAGTTAAATGTAGATAATTAAGCCTATAAACCCAAAACTTACCTAACGGAAGACAAACGATGTTGCTTTGAGACTGAAGTCAACAGTCGCTTACTCCAGTAATATTGTTGATTGACGGTTTACTTGAAAAAAATCAACGATGTGATTAAACTTACTATGACTTAGAATATCATTCCAGCATGTAATGCAATTGCAACGTAATGCAGTTGGACGTGGCAAATAGAAATTACAACCAGAGCAAAATTCACAGTATAATCCAGTCTTTTAATACAAAAAATACATCATAATATGACAAATTAAATAACTACATGAACATAACCATGACCGTTATTCCACTTGGCGATGCATTAAGTTTACATGACAACGTTGAGTTTAAAACTACCCCTTAAAACGAGCATTTTAACCTGTGTTTTCATCGTTTCATAAATTTTGATATTAAATAAAATTTTATTGAATATCATTTTCCTTTATAGAGATCATGAACCGATTGATGTTAGACAACCATTAAAACCCTGGAAGCAGTGGACGGCCGTTTCGTCCTATTGTGGCACTCCCGAGTAGTGCGTATCCACGATCCCGCTCGTGAGATTTGAACACAGGGCCTTCAGTTTCGGGTGGTAACGCTTAACCTCTACACCACTGAGCTAGCCAACATTAGATGGTGTTAATGTCTAACCTTAACCAATCCCGCAAGCGGATGCGCACTGCTGGGGAGTCCCACAATAGGACGAAACGGCCGTCCACTGCTTTCAGGTTTCTAATGGTGATCTTATATCAATCGGTCCATGATCCCAATAAAAAAACAATTTAATAATCTCCGCAACACTATACTGAGAATATTGTTCTATTAGTTTGTACTAAGAATGAACTAAAGTGACTGAATTATCCGAGTAGAATTGACAGGTAATTTGGCTAATGTAATAATCATATATTATTGTAATATATAGGATTTCAAATAATTTATCTAACAAATAGAAAATTGATTAGCTACTTAAATAACACAACCAAACTCTATTTAATAGGTATAGTTTAAGTGATGGCTAACAGGGGAATGTAGAAAAGCCAATGCTCTCACATGGCCACGCGTATATAGCCTCTGTCAGGGAAGTCCTACTCACTGCCTTCTCGTGGTGGGGGGGTGTTATTTACGAAAATGAGAGGACGAAAAGCAAATGTCCGGCGCTTTAACGGGATCCAAAATCAATGATGCACATGGGCTCCAGTATCCTGAAGGAACAAATGGCGTATGAACCAATCGTTGGTCACCGGCTACCATGGGACTGCATCTCCTTACGATGCTTCACTGCCTTGTGGATCAGATCTTCTCTTCAACCGTCAAGAGGGAATATCTGAACTCATACAAATTGCAACAAACAAACTGTGTATATCAACAAATTCCATACAATTAATTTGTATATTTTGATTGAAAGGAAGTTGAAATATTTCTATTAAAATATGGTTGAGTGTTTTTAATGTGTATATTATTTAGTTTTATTTCATTCACCCTACATACGCAATATTCTATGTGATACCTTGGTTTAAACATTACTGTGGCTTATAAATAATACACGTTTTCTGTATGTTTACCCTCTTCAAAGTACAGACATTTTACTTCTGAAATTACAACATATAACTTATCACATTGTTTGAATATGCCACTGAATAAAGGTTATAATCACCTTTTTGACTGTAAGAATTAACAGATGAGTTTGGACTTAAGATAAATGATGATTAATAGTTTCACAGGTGCCTTAGAAATATTGCTGGGATCTGCTCGGATCACCGGGTAAGTAATAGTGAGATTAGATGCAGGGTACTAGGGAATGATGGTAAATCAGTTGATGAGGTTATGAATCTTCATCGACTGTAATGGTTGGGCCACGTGTTGCATGTGCCTGAACACCGATTACCACGACGCGCAATGCTCACTGGTGTTAGGGATAATTGGAAGAAAGTGGCATCAGTGCTTGAAGTCACTAACTTCTGGTCTGAGACATGTTGGAAGATTCAGACTGCCTGGTTGGGGTCCGCGTGACTATCGTAACCAATGGTTGGAGACTCTTGGTGACATGGCTCAGAATCGATCACAATGGCGTCGGTAAATACACTCTCTGTCTTCCTTTAAATTAAGAGATTAAAATCACTTCAAATCTTTCTTTCTAGGAACTAATTCTTTCTTCCTGTACTATCTCCTTATATGCAATCTTTCTTCTATATATTACCACCACTGAATTAACTACTTTTATGAATCCGGTGTTCATCTTGTTGTGCTAATGCGGTATGGCAACTTGGACCGATGCATATACGTGCCTGGTCCTACGTTGCAGCTGACTGACTCACTATGTTTAAAGGATTAAAGAATGACTCGAACATCCAATGTAAAGCCTAATAATATCAATCACTCCCGTAGTTCTTGGTATTCGGATAAGGATTTCAAATTCATTTGTTTAGTTTGATATATTGCAGTTGTTTAAATAAATACTAAACATGTTCTAGCTAATATCTTCCACTCTGTAAAACATTTTTATTTGCTTATCAAGTTATCTGATCATATTGTCAAAGTATAGCCCTAATATTTCTTCATTATGAACTATAATTAAGTTAACAGTTTTACTTGAGTCCTGATTACCGTTAATCTGGAAGTCAAAAATTATTAGTAGTTAGCAACGGAATCCGTAAAGTATATTTCGTCCTATTTATGACTTATCAGCCAGATATACCTACGTTCTAGCGTTGATATGTATATTGAAATTCAAACTCAATAACTCACACTTCAAGCTCCTAACGTGTTAACTACTTACCTACAAAGTTCATATAGTCACTAGTTTGCGCAACGAAAATAAACTTATCAGTTAGTCAGCTACAACTTAGGATCAGGCACATATATGCATCAGTACAAGTTGCCACACCTCGTTAGCACCACAAGAATAACGCCAAATTTATAGAAGCACTTACTTCAATAGTAGTAATAAAAAAAAAGATTTCATATAAGGATTTGATATAAAGAGAAAGAATTGATTTATAGAAAAAAAAGTATAGAGCAATTCCAATCTCGTGGTTTAAGAGAAGACAAAAAGTGTATACACCTACACCATTGTGATCGATTATAAGCCATGTCACCCAAAGTCTCCAATCACTGATTACGACAGTGACGCGGACCCCAACCAAGTAGTCTGCATCTACCAACATGGTTTAGACTAGAAGTTAGTGATTTCATGGACTGATGCCACGTTTTGGTTTGGCCCCCCTAACTTTCTTCCATCCATCTCCAACACTGGTCAGCACTGCACGTCGTGATAATCGTTGTTCAAGCATATGTAACACGTGACCCAACCATCTCAGGATTCACAACCTCACCAACAGATTTACCATCATTCCCTGGAATAAACTTTTAAAGACGTAGATGTTGTTTTCCTGTTTTTAAAATAAGTTACTCGAGAGTTTCTTTTCTTAATTTCACTTTATTTTACTTATTAAATACATAAATACAAGTAATCGTTCATTGTTTTGACATTTTGTTTCAATAAAAATCAGAATAACTGAAGAAAATCATCAAACAACAAATCATAGAATATATAACTAAACACTGACATATATATATATATATAGAAGTGCTGGTGGTCGGCCTATGCTCCCTCACGAGGGGTAACAGGCGTATATATATGTATACCATATGTTCATGTTCTTCTGTCTGAAGAAAACCAAGAATACAAACTTATCACGAATATAATCAAAATAAATACAAACAGTAGTAGTGGTAGTAATAATAATAATAATAATAATAGTATTGAATAAATTTATCACTTAACAACTATCATATGTATACAGTTCCATTCATGAATGTATATGCAGTGATAACAATCCAAAAACAAACACAAAAAAATACCCCCCCCCAAAAAAACACTACCAAGAATAATATTTATAATGTTATAATGATAATAACACAGCCACTTTTATATATCTAATACAATATTGTCATTAGTTATATCAATTTAAGCATAAGATCATTTTAAAGACATATACATTACATCATTGAAAAGAAGAAAACAAAACGAGGGTAAATTCTCAATTACTTGTGAATAATATTGTAAGATAGATAGTAGACAAGATTTGTAACTCAGTTTAGGTGGATGATTTTGATGAAGTTTTGATTCTCTGAGCTGAAATGGGGTAGAAGTTTGTGTTGCTGCTGTTGCTGATGATGATGATAATAATAACAATAATAATAATAATGTCGTTTAGAAGAACAATGAAAACTCCATGATTAAACCATCCAGATCAAAGAACAAAACTTCATTATAATAATAATAATGTATTTTTTATATAAGTAGTATTTTAATGATTACAATATGAAAGAATCTGATTTTAATGTATACACAAAAATGGGAATAAATAAAATGCACAATTTTATTATTATTTTTTTTATTGATTTATGAAACATGCCCATAGTGATGGGTGATACTAATTGGTTATCTCAGTTTTCAAATTTTTTTCTTTTTCTAGAAAAAAAAACCCGAAAAAAAAGATTAGAAAATTTACAGAAATTGTTCATTCTTAACCAAAACAGACTTATACTTTGATTATGTAATCGATTGCTTAAATCATTCATATTATGTAATCTATTCACATTACTCATGAAAGGTGAAATGATTTGAAATTGAACACATTAGAAGTATCAATCATAAGAGTAAACACAATTACATTCGATTTAAAAGAACATGCTCACTTTCAAAAAAAAAAAAAATAAAGAAACAACAAAAAACAAGAAAAAAGCAAGTTAAAAAAACAGAAGAAGTAAACAACAATTTAAACAAACAACTGAACAGAAGGACAAAAGAAAACAAACAAAGGATAATCTATAAAATTATGAATGATAATTTAAATAATTTGTTAAACCAGAAGATCCCTGATTTAATTGTGAATTTGTTGTAACAGAATTTATTAATTGTGGATAACAGCCAGATTGTAAAAAAAGAAGATTCGATTGAAAATTTGGTTGAATAGTAACAGTTTTTAATGATAATGTTGAATTTGTACAAGAATTTGGTAATGAAGGTTGTGGAATTGATGGTGGTGGTGGAATAAGTAAACCAGTATGATTAGATATATTTGTAGGTAATCCATTATATAATAATGGAATACATTGTTCATTTGATATTCTTTGATTCATATTAATTATATTATGATTATTTATATTATTATCATTTGTATTAGTATTAACTATCCATGGTACATCATATGTTACATTATTAGTATCTGAATATGATATTGGTTCATATGACATTGAATTTAAACTTCCATCACCTATTGTACTACTTGGTGCTGGTTGAATACATCTACCTAATTCTGTTTGAATAGTTTGTTGTCTTATATTTACAGGTAGTGTACCATGATTAAATCCAGATAAACCATTTAAAAATTGTTGTGCATTTAATAAATTAGTTGTTAATGAAATAGTTTCAGAATTTAATTGACTTGTAGGACAATTTGTTATTGAATTTTGTAGTAAATTTGTTTCTACAGAACCATTACTACTATTATTATTACTATTAGTTGTTGTTGTTATTATTGTAGTAGTAGTAGTTGTTGTTGTTGCCGTTGTAATTGTCGTTGGTTTTGATATATTACATAATGTTGTATTTAATGATGATATACCATCAGGTGATATATTAGGCACTTCTAATATACTATGATCTGTTTTATGTGGTCTATATAATTTACGTTTATCACATGATGTTAATCTACAATGAAATGTTTGATAGACAATAAAAAATAATAAAACAGTTGATAAAAATGTACCAGCTGTAGCTGCTATTAATTCACCTAAACTAAATTGTTTCATATGTAACATTGAATTTGTATAAGATAATGATGATATAGTACTACTACTACTACTACTACTACCATCAATAGTAGTAGTATTAGTAGACCAATTATTTAAATAATTTAATTTACTTTCATTATATATTGATAATGATAGTTTATTATCAATTTTTAATAATTGTATTAATGGCCATTGTAATTGTATAGTTGCTGTTACATTACCAATAACATCAATTCCAATACATGAATAAATATCAATTTGTTGTTGTTTTATTATATCCAGTTGACTTTCCACTTTAATAATATCATTATTCATATAGGATATTTGTTTATTATTTGGATATTTATGTAGAATATGATGATTGGATAAATTAACTAAAGTCATATTATTATTATGATGATTATGATAATACCATAGAATTGATAATTCTCTAGATCCTTTCATTGAACATGTTAAACGAACCGAATCATATGATTGATGATAAGATTTATTGATAATAGATTTTTGAATATGATTAAAATTACTTAAATCAATATCAAGACGTTCAAGTTGTGGGGGTGGACAATAAAGTATAAATGGTGAATTGGATTTTTCCCATAGATTTGTATTTAGATTATTATTATTATTATTATATGTTTCTGATAAATCAGTAATTAAATCACTAAATTTATAACCAGCTAATGATAATGGTGTTGAACATTTTGGTTGATTATTTTCTTCTTCATCATTATGATTCCAATTATGATCAATTGTATTATTATTATTATTATGATTAGGATTATTAGGATTATGATTATTATTATTATTATGATATTTATGTATTAAATGATAACGTTTTATAAGCCAATTTAATTGACAATCACAATGCCATGGATTATTATTAATTTCAAAATGTTGTAATTCTTTAAATATTTTATCATATTTTTTATTAAGTTGTTTCAATTGATTCCCTTTTATAATTAATTGATTTAATTTACTCATAGTAATTAATTGTAATAATGATTCATATGGTAATTCATATAAATTAGAATTACGTATAATTAAACTTTTCATTTGTGTTATACCATTAAATATATTTGGATGAAAATAACGTAATTTAATTTCATCCATTATTAAAGTTAATTGATTTAAACCATTAAATGTATAATCATCTATTTGTATTAATGGATTACCTGTTAAATCTAATAAACGTAATTGTTTACCAATTGTTTGAAATGTATTACGTTCTAAACTAATAATATTACAATAACGTATATGTAAACTTTTTAATTGAATTTTACCACCATATTCAATACTACGATAGATAAATAATTCATTTGGTCCTAAATGTGTATTAAGAAATGTTTGATTTTGTATTAATAAATATTCTAATTGTAATATTGATGGTGGTATTGGTAAATAATTTAAACCAGTTAATTCACAATTCATACGTTTTGAACTACATATACATTGTTTTGGACATATTGTTGTATCTAATTGATAAGTGAATTTAATATTAAATATTATAATAATATTTATTATAATAAGTAGTATATATTGATATAAATATAATTGTGTTTTTATAAATGAATTTTTTAAATAATTCATATTTAATTAATTTATTACATTGGAAGTAATTTATTGAATGTTGATTGTTTTTATTGTTGTTGGTGGTGGTGGTGGTGTTGTTGTTGTTGTGGTGGTGGTGGTGGTAGTAGTGGTAGTGTTAGTGGTTGCTTTGAATTCTTCTCTTTTTCTTTTCTAAACTAGAGATTTAAAAAAAAAATAGAAAAAAAAGCATTAAAAATTTGATAAATATTTTAGATGATCAATATGATTGTCTTTTTTTTTTAAAAAAAATAATTTGTACAATATAAAAATCCACGAAATTGAGCGACATATTCACGATTGTCTTCAATGAGTTACTATCTCACAATAGACCCGTTTGAACTCCACTGATCACTTCTTTTTACTAGAACTCTAGGAAATATCTCTTGAAGCCAGTTATTTAATTGTTTACTTAAAACTATATCCATATTACAAGTTAAGTAAACAATTAAATGACTGGCTTTAAGAGATATTTCCTGAAGTTCTAATGAGAAACAGTGATTGATAGAGTTCATCAACTGGGTCTGTTATGAGATAGTAATTCACGGAAAACAATGGTTGATATGTTGCTCAATTTCGTGGATTAGTTGTAAAATAGACATTAACACTGTTGGATGCCTGCTAGCTCAATGGTCTTGAGGTTAAGTGTTCGCGCACGAGAATGATAGATCCTGGGTTGGAATCTCGCGAGGCGGGACTATGGATGCAGACTGATGATGAGTCCCACAATAAAACGAAACGGCCATCGAGTGCATTCAGATTTTCCATGATGGTCTCACTCTTATTGACTCATGATCTCAAAACTATTAAAATGAATGGAAACAAGGAAGTATTGAACGAATGATTCATCGTTGCATAACACTCAAATTAATGACATAGATAAAAGCACACAATCTACAAATCTTTCAGTCACACCTACGGTCTGAGCATTCAAAAATCAATAAATAGATGATTAAGTCAAGTACATTTATTGCATATTTATTTATTATTTATTTGAACACATAAATATTGATATAAAAGAGAACCCAATACATAAGAATAGTATTTATCGTAAATATCGTCATTTCACTCCATTTGTGGTATGAAAGAAAGTTACAAAGGGTTGGTTTCTTTTGGTCCTTCACGACTCCGTGGCTGGCGTCCAAGAGATGACGCAACACAGTGGCTAGAGACGCTATCAGATATGACTCATAATAGAGGCCAGTGGCGATATTGCTGTAAAATTATTTTACTTTCTTCATAAAAAGTGGTTGTATCTTCCTTACCTGAAAGAATTCTTCTGGTTGTACCTTTCTGTTTCCCCCATTATTATTACTATTACTATTACTACACTACCTTACAGTAATATGTTCTTTTCTTTTTTTTCTTATACGCACCTTACCTTCTTTTTTCTCTTCCCATTCTCATTGTTTTGTCTGGCGCATATATATCTGGTGCCTCCTTGTACCAATAAACAATAATAAATGAACACATAAGAGCCACACAAGTCACTTGATTTGTGTGTGAGCTGTGATAATGCCCGGGTGCCCAGGCAGAATCAGGTGGTTTTTTTAAGGGGGCACACCCGAAGCCTTTGACCTAGAGGTCTGATCCGCAAGGCCATGGAGCAACGTTAGATGTAGTACTATAGTATACGATGATCAACAATAGGTTCATACGCCATTTATTCTCTTAGAATCGTCACTAGGTAAGACAAATTAAGTAAACGTATGTCCACTTATAATTTATAAATTAATGCATTGAATAGTTTTGACATATTAAAAGTTAATTTGTGTCAAAAGTTTCAGCAGCCCACTTATTACTATGGGGCTATAACTCAGCACTTAAGGTGTTTGACTTCCATTCAATAATTCACAGGTTCAAACGTAACTTTATCTACTTCAATTTAAATAACGTAATAATGACATCACCACTCATGCCTAAACTGTGTCTCAAAGCTAGTGAGTGAATAAGGCATACAGTTAATAAAATTAACAATTACAGAACTCTTTTGAAACAAGTTCTAATAACATTTTAATAATATACACTACTGTATTGTCTAGATAATTTATGACAATAAGCGATTAAAATATGGGTCAATTTCGATTATGATTTCATATGACTTCAATACTTACTACTAAACTAACAATTTTATGGTTATAGTGCTAAATACACATTACACTTGTCTCTCTGTACATCAAACTACTTTCCTCAAACAGTCTAATTCACATAATCATTTTTGATGATAGACAGTTATGGTAAGCGAACAATGTCTAGTTTTTATCAATATATTGTATCATATTTCCAGAATAATAAATTAATTAATAATTTCAGAAGGGGTTATGTGGATATTATGGTAATCTCAATGGTTAAGATCATGAGACAGTTGAAGGTAGACCACCATGGAAAACTTGGAAGCACCGGACGGCCGTTTCCTCCTCTTGTGGAACTCCTCAGCGAGATCGTGGATGCGCACTGCTGAGGAGTTCCACAAGAGGAGGAAATGGCCGTTCAGTGCTTCCAGGTTTTCCATGGTGGTCTAGCTTCAACTGACTCATGATCTCAACCGTTGTAATTAGTAATTCACAAAGTCTTTCAATCCTACTGATTATTTGGAGTTTTGAACAGTTTATCTTAGATAAGGAAAGTCAAAGGATATAATTATGACTAAGTTTAATATAAATTTCACAGTTAACAAACGGAACGAAAGATCAATAACACAAGAACAAGACGATCTAAATTATTCACTGTGCCCTAAATCTGCAAACTGGAGAGAGAAGATCAGATTCAACTGAGGGAAAAGTAAATTCCACAAGCAATCGATAACACGAACCAAAAAGCACACAACTCGAACGTATATATACAGCATAAAATTGTTATAAAATAGCACATTAAAAGAAGGAAACGAACCAATGACATTTCAAGTCCCTATATGTGGGAAATACAATATATTTATCAAGTGATTTCTAGGAATCTAGCATACTCAACAACATTTTATACGTTTTCATAATTGATTCATTGGTACATAATATTCATAGCAAAAAATCTATTTCAACTAAAATGATCATTTTCATTAAGTATGGTGTTAGAAGTTACTTTTTTACACAAATTTATAGCAACTAAAATGAACTATCTTATATAACATTAATTTTAGAGAGATGGATAGTGGTTAGCGATGGAATCCAGGACGTGAGTTTCGTCCTAATTGGGACTCGTCAGCTGGATTTACCAATGTCAGTCAATCAACCACAACATAGGACCAGGCATATACATGCATCGGTCCAAGTTGCTAAACCTCATTAGCACAACAAGATGAACAAGCAATACATAAATGAATTTATTTTTACGGGTTTACAACAGTCATATATACTTTCAAATAGATACATGTAAATGTAAGTTATGCGAAGAAAAAAAATCACATTCGAGTCAGATATGTTGAAACAGAGAATTCAAGTAGGTGGATATTGTTTACAAAGAAAATAATTTCTCTCTTTGCTATATCATATATGATTTTACGTATACACACTTTGTCTTCCCTTAATTCGTGAGATTAAAACTGATTTACACCTTTCTTTCTACCAACTAATTCTTTCTTCCTGTATTATATCTTTATACACAATCTTTCTTTTATGCATTACTACCTTTAAAGTAACTACTTTTATGAATTCGATATTCATTTTGTTGTGCTAATTAAGTGTGGACAACTTGGACCGATACATATATGTGCCTGATCCTACGTTATAGCTGACTGATTGACTGAGTGACGTAAAATAAATCCATACAATACACATTATCTCATATGTTAATAATTTTCTTTAAGAGTAAAAGTAAGCAGATTATAGAACTACTTTACATTTATATCTCATCAGAGAGTATCGCTGTTAATAATAAATTTATGTTTACAGCTGATATTACTAGACATCTTAAATAAGAATGTCGATAGTTGATCATTTTTGTAACTGATTTATTAAAATGATTCCTTATAGAACGAAGATGATCGATAATACAATACAATTCAGTGTGAATAATTCCTTTTCCATGCAATGATATTTCAAACTATGCCTAAAACTTTAGTTTTAGAGTTATTAACTATTTTCTAAAATGAAGATAGCAGCAAAATCCGAACGAAGATTTCCTCGTGATGCTGTTGGATAGTGAAAGCAACCCTGCTAACCAATTGAGGTGGTTGCAGAGATCGGAACGATCACTCAATCTGTTGTATTTGACCAATCCTAAGTTCTGTACTCGGAGAAAATGTTCCCAGGCCTATATAGCTCAAGTTTATAGGTGTATGCAAAGGGTACGCTTATGGTAACATAAAAAGGAAAGTTTTCGAACTCTCGGCTGAATAAATGAATACTGGCTATTTGAACAACTAAAAAGTTCTTTTATTCAATATTAAGTGTTATTATCTATAAATTGTATGCCAAGCGACCGGTTTTTCTCTTTAAATGAAGTAAAGATAATTAATATTGGCGTTTTATGACCTAGCCCTCCTATCACATACACACGAACAAATGCAGACAAAGACAGCCAGCATAGTAGCAGTCTCTGCATCAGCAGAACTCAACATACACAAGGAGAAAACTAAGGTCCTCAAATGCAACATGGAGAACACAAATCCAATCACACTTGAGGGCGAAACTCTGGAAGATGTAGAATCCTTCACATACCTCGGAAGCATCATCGATGAACACGGAGGTTCAGATGCAGACGTAAAGGCGAGGATTGGCAAAGCAAGTGCGGCATTCCTCCAATTAAAGAACATATGGAACTCAAAACAACCTTCAATCAATATCAAAGTCAGAATATTCAATACGAACGTCAAGGCAGTCAGTTCTACTGTACGGAGCTGAAACTTGGAGAACTACAACAACCAGCATCAAGAAGGTACAAGTATTTATCAATAGCTGTCTACGCATGATACTCAACATCCATTGGCCGGATAACATCAGCAACAGCCTTTTGTGGGAGAGAACCAACCAGCTTCCAGCTGAAGAGGAAATTAGGAAAAGACGATGGAAATGGATAGGACATACATTGAGGAAATCATCAAACTGCATTACGAGACAAGCGCTAACTTGAAATCCTGAAGGGAAGCGGAAAAGAGGAAGGTCAAAGAACACATTACGTCGGGAAATAGAGGCGGATATGAAAGGGATGAATAAGAACTGGAAAG